CTGGTGCAGATTGTAGAAGTACCTTGGCAAATAAACTCATGTTAGTGTTTACACTAACTTAATGAAAACAAATCAAGATCAGTTAAACCCTAATTGAGAAAAGCACAATCAGGATGTGGTTTCAACTGTATATGGTTACAGCACAGCAGCTTTTTCAGGCTAGCAGCCCTGGCTGCTCCTTGCCTCTTGGAAAAGGTGCAGGTCCACTGCATTAACAAAACCAGGTTTCAGGATAACTTTTCAAGCCAATGTCACCTTCTCCAAAGAAACCATAACCAGGATAGGTACAAGGTCAGACATTTGCAAGGGTGATAGCAAGCAATGTTCTGTATGTTCTTGACACTGCCTTCAGCAATACTGTGAATTTCATCCTCAAGATTCCAGCAGTGCACACATAGCTTCTACCACACAACTGACACTTATGGTAATATCTAATCACTGTGTGAAGGTGGTAACAAAATGGAAATAATTTCAGAGAAGACTTTTAAAAACCTGCAAAAATGAAGGAAAGGTCAATAAATTCTCAAACTGAGAATCATCAATATATTATGTTAAACGTTAATGGTCTTCAAGGTCAACATTTTCCCTGGACTTTAAGATAATAATATGAGCTATACAAAACTGAATGTATGAAATGCACATAAACCCATAACACATTGAAGCACATTAATAGAAAAAAAAGGACACAATAAGTGTTTTAAATGGGTTCTGTTTTTAACATTGCTTATTCACTGCCCTCTTAGTGCCTGTTAAAATCAGGGAGCAGGTCATTCACCAGCAAAAGCAATTATAAAATGCAAATGACTGAGCTTTATTGTCAAGATTGGCTAGATAAAAAAGGTCTCCTTAATAACATGTTTCCAAGCAGATGACATAATTAGATGTCTGTATCATAAACAATAGGAATACAAGCCTTTAGCATTTTTAGAGAGGCTGCAATTAAAAAATAGGTAAGTATTGTGACATAAATTCTATTAAAAAGTAACAATTAAATTTCCCTCTGAGAAATTAGAAGGCACCATCTTGTGGTTACTCTGCAGGAATGCAGCCAGGACAGCCTCCAGCCTGACATCTCCTCCTACCCCATCCCACTGTGTCACCTGTCAAGATTCTGCCATAGAAAAGGACAGTGCTTTGTCATTCCCAATACTTCCTCTGAAAAAAATCAGTGAGACTGTGTACTAGGTAGAACTAGAGGGGTTATTTAGCTCAAAATACACCCCAGTTTATCACATTACTCAAATGTGTGTTTGAGGTAGACAGCAAACCAGAATTATTAGCCATCGTAGCAAAACCAGACTTAATTTCTAGTAAGTTTAAGATCAAATACTACCATAACCTAAAGTATCTGCAGCTCAGTAAAGCTGCATGAGTTTTTGAGCCAGCTAAGATCAGAAACTTCTATTCCTGTTATCCTTACATTATCAAACCCAAAACATAGTTTGTGCATTTTGCAGAAAGTGTTTGAAAATTTCGTAAACAATTTACTTTGGGCAAGAGTCAACCAGTGAAGTTTGTGCCATCTTCAAAGACATAGTGAGTCTCATATACAGGTCACAGTTCAGCATTCAGAATTGCTTGTTCAATAGAATCTGCAGTTGTAAGTAAAGCCCTGTTTTGTATGTAATCCATGTATATTCACAGCTACTAATGTCTGCTTTGGGTCCAGTCCTGCTAACTGCTTGTTCATTGTACCTAGTGAGATAAAGAATCCAGACTGATCTTCTCCAGTCACTTGTGTAGCTGAACAGTGAATTAACTACCATGGAAAGTTCAATTGTTTTGTCTTCCTTAAGAAATGTATGTAGAACATAAACCAGTATCAATTTAGTTATTGTTTTTATTGCTTTTATAATAAATTATAAATACATAGCTATTTTAGAGACACTAATTTAACTTATGTTGGGTTATAATTTGATCATATAACTCCAGAAATATTGGTGTTATTGTTTCAGTATGATCTAAGATTTAGTATTTTGTATTATGGGAAGCGTATGACCAGATCTCCTTTAGTGGAACAAACAGTTAAGGTATTCTGACACGTGTCTCATTTCACGTTGTTTGAAGTACTTAGCAGTTCAAAATTAATAGAATACACATCTGCTTTTTTTTTTCACAAGCAGACCTAGTTCTGGCCTGTTGATGGCTCAATGAGTTTTGAATGGCTATAAATGACAGCAGTATTGAACCTATACATTGTTCTTTTGACATCCGTCAGATCTGGATCTCCTAGAAAATACTTAGGACACTCATTTTTCACACAAACTAGCCATAGGATAGTGTCAGTGTCTGACAGTCTAACTGTGATAACATCCAGGTTTATCTTTGCTTTTGAAAGGTGTCAATAAAAGAGGAATTTCTCTGTGTCTGTAAAGGGCTGTGGTGGCATGAATTCATCTATTTCCCAGAAAGAATACAGCTAGCGTCACATGTTTCCTTGGGATTTTTGAACAAATCAGGAGCGTGGGTACTCTGAACCACTTTGGTTACAAGATGCAATGTTTTTTTAGCAAATAACACAATTCTGTCTGCTGATTTTCTGAGCCCAATTCCTTTCAAGATTTCAGTCCTCTGACCAGGTTCACACCACCCAATGTCTCTGTTTATGTGTGCACTTCAGGAGCGGGGTGACATCAAAAACAATAAAAATCATATCTAGATTATATACTTTAAGTCTTCATTGCCTCCCCACTGGAAATGCAACTATATATTGTGTGTACAATAAAAAGCAGACACACATGTTAATATGTCCATTTATATACCAGGATACTCCATACATTCAGCAGCTGAAGTTATCTGATTTGTTTCCTTGGTTGTTAATACGACCTTTGATCTTCCTTGTTTCCAAAGGTTGAGAAGTTTTATACAAATGTCAGAATGATACTTCTATTCTAAAGGGATGAAATTATAAATGCTATCAAAAATAAGTGCCTCCTCTCTCTCCATGGGATAACCAAGGCACCATTACTTGCATGGTTTACTCATCCAGGTAGATGAAATGTAGAGACTGGAGACAGATGACAGTTCTGCTTAACTCCCCTTTGACTACTACTACTCCCTCTTCTAGGCAAAGGGGATCTGCTACTTTCGGAGATGATGGAAGTAGACATTCACTGAAAGTCTGTGGGTGCTGAGAGAAGAGTGGGTGAGGGGATGCTGGAGTAGGCTGTGTGTAGGGATACTGGCATCATTTTGCTCTTAATTTAATTCCATAATTGAAGTTCTGCTGAAATTCTTGTGGTCCCCTGACATCATGTTGTGTGGGTGCAGTGGGGAGGGATGGAGGTAAGGGATTGGTGGCAAGGAAGAAAGAGAGGAGAGAGACTTGACCCTTAACTGCTTCAGATTCACTCCTAACATTTTAAAGTATCTCAATACTTGATGATGAGACCTTTCTGCTACAAGTACTGTTAAAAGGCCAGATACCTCCAGTCATTGCCATCTCTAACCATCATTAACAAAAAAAAAAATAAAAAAGAAGGAATTTAAAACAAAAAAATCACCACCCTACGAAACCATAGATCTTATAGAAAGAAGTCCTTAGTTAAGAAGCTTCTGTTCCTCACACAACTTCCAACATGCTCTCATCGTCATGTAAGATATGCATTTACACACTGCAAAATACTGAATTATTATCAAAACAGTTCTATTTTTATGAATGTTTCTTATTGTTAAAAATCCAGAAAAGCTAAACCAAGTTATGCTGATGTCCATATGAAGCCATATCCACCTTAGGGATGAATAAAAATTATTAAGACTTACATGAGTTACTTAAGCAACTGGTATCTTTTTCCTCACAAATTCATTTCAGAAACATAACATTCCAATAGTACATTAACAGAAATGAATCAGCCTGCAGTATCATAAAGAAGAGGATCCAAATGGTCCTTTAACAATTTAATAAAATGTACCCATGTTCAAACTGTGTTTAAGACCTTGTAACCTCACACTGCCTTTGTATGCATTTGAAAAAAAGGTCTTTAACAATGTATTTATAACAGAACACTTGCATACCAAAAAATTGCCTCAAAAGAAGTGAAAACAAATTGTAAATTTTCTGAGTAATAATTCAAGTTACAAAAACTCACCAGTAGCACCTGGAAAAATACCAATATAAATATAGTTGTTGGATTTACTACTGATTTTATTAAATTAAATTTCTAAGTAGAAATATAGAAATTGCCATAGGCCACAAGCTCCTCAAAAGGAGAAGAAAAAAAGAAAAAGACCTAGATAAATCCAAGAGTTTATCTCAATTTTTAAAATTCAGAATTTTTCATAGGAATAAAATGTACAGTTTAAGTTTAAACACGGAGACATATACAGGAAGATTTATTTATTTATTTATTTGTTTTGCAAAAATTATAATTTAAATTTCATAAGATGTTACTAGTGTTGGCACAATTACAGTATTATGGTTGTATAAATTGCAAGTACAGAACAAATTAACACTAGAATTTTCATAACTTAGTCAGTTTGGAATTACAGGACACCATATCAATAGTAAACCCACCAAAAAAAAATCGTGCTGATGTAATCTTTTCCAGATGCTACCAGGACACCTTTGCAAGTATAAACTTCTGTAAAGAACATTTCTATAGAGACATTTTTAGATAGACTTTGAGCTACAGACAGTTTCTCTTTTGAAAATCAAAATTATGTGTAGAAGATTAATTTGTTTCCCATTACAGTTTCGGATTTCTTCTTCATCCATAAAATTAACTGCAGTGAACTTCCAGGAGTAAAAAGCTGTCTTTTTTCAGGCTTGAATAAGAGGAGAAATAGTCACTTGTCCTGAAATCTGGCTACAATTAAACACATTGAAGACAAATTAAAAGCTGTACATATAAAACTTTGGCTACTTTGCTGTGATCCTTTGTTACACAAGTACTATACAATAAACAATCAGTGTGCATCACCTACATTTAGCTACCAAATGCTTAAAGTATTCTTGAAATAGACCATAACTATAAAGTAAAATAGGAGAAGACAATATTTACCTTTTCCAACTGGGCATTTTTTTTTGATTTGTACAAAAACTCCCCCACTGCCACAAAGACAGAAAGCACCAATCCTGCTGCCAGCACGATGAAAATTCCTCCAATATTTTGAACTCCTAAAGCACTGGCCTCTTTACTTTCCTCCTCAGGGCAGCCATTGCCTCTCCACCATTTCTCTTTCATCATGTGGAGCTTGCCCTCCTCTTGCAGCTGAAGAATTGCTATAGTGATCTTGTCTCTGTATGGAGAACCTAAAGAGACCACAGGGAATATATATTGCATGGGGTATATTTTAAAGAAAGTTAGTTATTCCTAATAAGAATAAAACGTAATATAATGTCACAGGACATTATATATTACATATATCCTCTACAAATATAACACTTATTGAAAAGACATTTACATCTCACCATGGTCGCTCTGGTCACACAAACACAAACCCACATGCACATACACTCATAAATGTACAAAACTTGATCCAGTTGGTGTTGGCTGTAAGTCAGGAAACTTAATGCAACAAGTCCTATCACACTTAGTCCCATAGTCTCAAACATCTTCATGCCCAGCTATTATATCCAGTCACGTATTAATCTTTCAATTTCCATCAGGCTGTTAATTATGCTGCAGTAGACTTAGTCTAATATACATAAATCTACCGGTTGGTTCTTCATAGCTTGTTACCCTAAAGCTAATCCAAGGTCTGATATGTAACAAACGCTCTATACTATTATTTTATTAAAAAAAGAAACAATAATCTATGCTTCAGGACCAATCCACAAAAGTCTCTATTTGATAGTCAGGCATGAATGCACATGTACTTATTAAGAGTACCAGGTAGCAATGCATTTAGAAAGATCAGGTTACATGTGTTTGGATAACAGGGATGTAAATTCTCATATTTTAATGTATTTCTTTCTCATAATTCAGTATTTTAAAATGACGTGATAATTTTGTAGCTTTTGAACATTTCAATATTTCAAAGGGCAGGACAAAGGGTAATGTCATATCTTTCTATGTCATGTGCTATCTTTTTCTTTATATAGTGCATAAGGACTTTTCAATGAGTATTTTAAAATCTACATTAATGAACGAATAATGCCAATGGAGAAAGCTTTTCTTTTCTGAATGTTAGAGAGTAAATCACATCAGTCAGAAGTGCTTTCTGTGTTAAGATTTGTGTAATGTTTAAGGAGAGAACAAAGCCATCATTTTTCTTCTCCTCCTTCGAAAACAGGAACAAAAGACTCTTCATTAAAGTGGTTAAGAAATCACAGGGAAAAAAAAAAGAGTAGATGGAGTAGATGAAAAGGCATCCTCTCTTTCATGCGATGTGAATGCAATTCTACAAAGAATTCCTCCTCTTTTTCTTTCTGTCATAATAATGCTACTTACTAGCTATAATTCTTACAGTGTTTCCTTTGGCTGAGTAATAAAATGCATTTTCATTAACTTCATACCTTTTTAAAAAAAATCCTCAGCATCCTTTAGAGAGATGCTGCCCATTTGGTTACTTCGTGTACTGTGATCAGCTGTGAAGGAGCTGAAGGAATGCATGGATAGGATATTTTATTTTCTTTACATTATTGGAAAACATATATTTTCTTTTGGAATTTCTTTAAATTTATTCTTTATGTCTTGAATTTCTTCTTACATATCTAAAGCTTATCATGACAATAAAGCTAATAGCAAAGGGTTTCTGTGCCAGCATGGAAGTAAAACATAGAAAGAACGGTTAATTACAAAACACTCTGAGCTTTTCTTGTACTCCCGTATAAAAGGTGGGAAAACCTGGCCTCAATGTATTTAAGTTGCAAGAATTTGTGCTTTTATCATTTCTGCTTATAAAAGAATGATGTTCTGTACTAGGAGCTAAGCTGTGTTTACACAGGACTACATGGGAAGCAGAAAGAAAGAAAAACAAACTCTTTTCTACTCTCTTGTGCATGCAGGGGCCTAAGTTACACCATTTCAGACATCTTGATTATGCTGAAACTCTGCAAAACCCTATACTTGACATTTCTTCAGTCAGATGGAAGAAGGAAAGTGATTTAGTCCACAAGAGCCTGGGGAAGTATAAGTGCATCCTATAATCTTTTGGGGGTATTTTCAGCGTTACACTGCCTATAAATATTCAACAACAACAACTTAAATAACATTACATTCTGAGAAATAATCTTGGATCCAGTTTAAGCCATCTTCTGATCTGACATGCTGCTTTCTAATTAAACTCATTTGCATTTTTTCCCCACACTTTCTGTTGGTCTAAATATAGGCAGTACCAACCATCCTTCATGTATTATTTATATATTCCAGGGATGAGATTTGTACACACACAGTTCTAGTCTGTTTGAAGCACTTAAAAATTATATTAACTGAGGAATTCATAGACAGAAACCATAAAGCACAGAGTAATCCTACCTACAACCAGTTAAGTTTATGAGGACAGCATTAGAAGCATGCAGTTAATAGTGATTCAGTTCAACAGTATGTATCACCTGCTGTTGGTGATTTGCAAAATTTTCCACAAATACTTGTGGATTGGACAGATTACAGGGCCTTTGGTGCTTCTACTGCAACATTTGTCTTTGTTATGCCTTCTTATCTTGTCTTAAAAGTGATAATCTCACAAGTAAGGATCAATGTAGGATGACTAGCATTGCATACTGCTGCTGTTAAATTAAGCACTTAAAATTTTATACCTGTGAAAAAAGCTAGCATTCAGTGCTGTAGTTCTATTTCTGAATGATTTACAATGTTCTAAATTCATTGATTAACATTTTACAACAAATAACAAGGACAATTAATAATCTGATATTTGAAAAAAAAGTAATTTAAATTTTCTTTTACTGATTCAAGTAGTTATTAGAGAATAAAAGAAGCATAGCAACAATATTATACTCTAAGGTTTTATTTGCCTCTAGATATTTTTTTGATGCAAGATGGATTGCAAGTCCCAGCAATAGAAAATCCACCCAGAAGCACCTGATGTGGCTTAAAGTATCATGATCTGATCTGTGGATGACAAAGTTATCACACAAAAAGAAGGCACCCAGATTACACTCTGGATGTTAAACAGTTTTCCTTGCAGAAATGAAAAATTTCAGCAGGTAAATGTAAAAGAGTTTTGGCATTGACTGGTAATTTTCCTTATCGCTCCTGTCATATGACTGAAAGATGAATGAAGCCTTTCCACGAGGTGTTGCAAGAAGGCCATGGCCTGGTTTTTTACATTTTTTTTAAAAATCAGAAGTATTTCATTTAAGAGAATTTACTGTTCAAGTGAAAAAAATGAAATGAAAACAGAAAGTTTAGGACTCACAGACAATGTATATGAATGGATTTGCAAAATAAATTCAGTATGAATAAGACTAAAGCAATAAAGCAGAAGAGGAAAAAAAAAAAAAAAGAGAACAAAATTCCATCACATGAAGAAATGTGAACTTCACTTCTTAACCTTCAATAAAAAGAGAAGCAGCTGAAAAAAATCTTACCAGTCTGTGCATAGGGGGAAGACTGGAAGGGGACAGACACAGCGATATTTAAAACTCTGCCACAAAATCAGCGAAAAAATCAGTATATAATTTTCCGTTGAGTACAGAGAAAGTGAGAAGTCCAGTGCAGGAATACCTGACTTTTCCTTCCCTCTTTTTTCATGATTCCTACTGCTTTCATTTCTCTATCAACTGTTAACCTATTCCCATGAGAAACTGGGACTGGAGAGCCTACAGAACATAATCTATACATTATTTGCTGATCCCACTCTAGCTGCTGTTTACAGGAATGAGAATTTCTGCCAGAAGAATTCTAAGACATTGTTATAGATTATAGAGACCTTAGTGACTTCCTATGATCAACAAACTCAATAAGGGATGCAATAATTTCTATTTGCAGCTACCTGCTTATGAAAATGTAATTTTTTTTTTTCATAAAATTCTGTTGTCTGAGGCATCTGTCCAAAACTAAGATAACAAAGTCTCAGAAATACTGAGACTGAAAAAGTTATACATTGCTAGGTTTTCTACCCTGAAGTCTCAATATATGAAGTTTTATGCACATAATGATATTTCTGATCATAAATTATGAACACGTAAGCTTTTTATATCGAGACTTCACTGTATACAGATTAGTATGTTACAATCCTGCTGATCTTACTGGTCACGAAAATGCTTACTTCTGGATTATAATGTAGTAAAATCTGCCTGGTTACTCTTAGTCTATTTTACCATTGTATCAAATACAAAAGGAGTTGGAGCACATTGGGACCTGTAGAACTGAATTTGACCCTCAGTAAATAAAAAGGAATAGCATCATTCCGCTAACTCCTTCATTATGAAAATATTGAACAAGGAACTTTTCTCTTTCATCATTCCAGTGCATTTTACCAAAAAAAATCATTACAAATTGTCTGGTATTTTGAAAGTTGGTGCCCATGGGACACAGTTACATGTTACTTTTGATTTGCTAGAAAGAAAAATCCATTCTGAACACTTCTACACCACTGATAGCATCTTTTGTTCCTGTTACTTTCTTCTTTTGTTATTAAAACCCCCAAGACTATTCTACTTATCTTGCAACGTTATTTCATACTTGGCCTAAGCAAAAAAGAAAGGTAGTTAGGAATATACCATCATATGCAGAACCTAGGTACCAAATTTAGATCATCAAGTTCTTCAAGTACTGAAGTATTTTTGAAAGAAGAAAGCCACATGTAACAGGAAAGATATTCCTTTAATATCTAGGTGTTGAAGCTGTAACAGTTTACATCGAACAAAGCAACCAACTCTAGATTTAGTTTTCACAGTCAAAAGGAAGAAGCACAAAACTTAGCATGGGGGTGTTTGGATTTGTTTTGTTTTGTTTTGTTTTGAGGTTGGTTTTTTTTTCAGTATGAGCCCACTCCCATTGTGGATACACCACACTGATCTATCTATCCTAAAGCTAGCTTGGGTACATATACATAAGCTGCATTCACTGGAATCACTCTAATGTAGGCATGTCTGAAATTTCTGTAAGAGTGATGGCTAACACTGTTTATACTACTGAGGATGGGTGGAATCATTTAAGTCTTAGCATATCGACATTTCTCTGTACTTTCCCATAACTTAGCCCCATCAAAAATCACAGACTAAATATTCTGCCACCAAACTGTTTGTATGCTTAGTTAAATCATCTTTGAAAGTCTTGTTTGTTATATTGTTCTCTTACCTCTGTCCATCAGTTACTATGATGAAGCTTTCCTTTTGTTCTCACC